GTCCGTGTAAGGCAGTGGTTCTTAACCGGTGTTCCGTGTACTTAGTATAAGTGTTCCGCCAAAAAAAAATGTTTAGTTTATTGTCTTAACATTTTGATTTTTATGAACTTCCAACACAGGGAAGTATAAGACGTGTATATCTATACACTGTATAGTGTAAAGAATCATTTTAGGTTAATATATTAAACAATTGAAAAATGTAGTATTATTACTATTTAAGTTTAGTGTTCCGTCACCCGAAAAAGGTGTAGGGTCTTCATGAGAGGACGCTACACCCGCATTATTTGTTTTCTACGTTTTACAAAATATGTACTACATAGCAAATACTGTTTTGTAAGGGATAGAACCGCTCAGGCTGTAGTGATAGCACGATTTAAGATGTATAGGTTACACATCGACCTGTGTCGATATGATTAAAGTTTGAAGAAGAGGTTGACTCACAGCTGTGGAAAAGACGCTAGTGCTCTCTGCCTCTCTATCATCACAATTTAAATCACGAACTAATTGTCACACTTAATAATTTGAATTTATATCATAGATATCCTATTCCACGATTTAAGATAATATATATGCAAATACTTTAAGTGATTTAGGTACTTATTACCTAGCCGCATACAAAACTTTGTTATTTTGTATGACGTATGGTATTATTTCCACTACACTTGAGATTTGGGGCTTCATACTTTCATAGGATATCTTAAAGACTATTAAAAAAATATTTATTCAAATTGGAAAAATATAATAAAATTAAGTTTTTATTGTCTGTGGCGGCGAAAACTTTTTGAGTCTTTGAAGCAAATTGTACATTTTTAATATTTTTACCACCAACCATTCCCTTTATTACATCAAAATGATAATTTACTATGTTAATGTAAAATAAATGTAAATGTAAATATTTGTTATTTCCGGTACCATGAAGAATTCAATTTGGCACTCGCCTTATCATATGCCGATGGGCAACTTATACATCTTAAATCGTGAGTGAAGTTAAGACTCCAAGCTAATAATATACAATATAGCTGAGAACATTATCTGTGAAATATTATTTTTATTTTTTTGATATCACTTTTACAAAAAAAGGTCTCATTGTTTCAAAATCCATTATTTTTATGTTTTTCAAACTTGAATAACTTTTTTTGTAGTTCTGGTATCAAAAAAATAAAAACGACATTTCACAGCCAATGTTCTCTTTTTTATGTGGTAAAAATTTCGTTTCTTAGTTATGAGTTTATGACTAACCTTCTCGGTTCTTTCCCGCTCAAAATATTTTGCTCTTTGTTGTACATTTGTAAGACGAGGTGTGTTATACATGAGATCCAGCGTCCCAACTTTTAATAATATAGTCCAACCGTCTTGCCCAGAATTGTTTTTTGTATTTATTTTATCATTGAATGCAAATTTATCACATAAGTACATTACAATGACTTACATATGGCGTGGTACACTCAGCCCCTAAGGCTCTAGGCCCCTAGACCTTACTGCTGTATCCAGTGGTCGAAATGGCTCAAGATAAGTGGAGCCTTACAGTTCAGATTTCCTGATGGCTGATATCATCATAACATTCTTCATACCTTGTATATATTTTTTTTTTATAATTCACATTTTGTTTATGTATCAGAACACTACAATCTTTTTCTATCATAAATAATCTTTAAAACTAAACAAATAAATAACATATTTTCAAATTTAATAACAAAAAACTGATAAAATATTTTATTTATAATATTTTTCTGTGGAAATTTTAGATTATATAGTTAAATTTATAAATTTTAATTAATACTAACAATATAATATGTAATATAACAAAATATATTAGTATTTATTATTATTATTATAAAAGGCGCTACCGTACGAAACCCTACGAAACTGACTATACGAAAAATAAAAAGTTTTCTTATACATAGGTATAAATATAAAAATCATAATAATTATTTCATTTTAAAACACAAGTCTTTTGAGGAATGCGTTATTCGCTAGACAAAATAAATAGAGGGATGAAAAATGTAAATACAAAAAAGTGGAGGGATGTCATCCCACCGTATCCGCCCTCCCACTTCGACCACTGGCTATATCGCACAGCAAAGCAGACAGCAGTTACCTACTTTCCACCTTTTTTACTTACCAAATTGTTTAATCTGTATAATACAAATAGAACAATAAGTAAATTATATATTTTTTTATCTCACATGATTATAATTTACTAAATATAAAATATATTATATTTTGTAATCAACAACATCTCAATTAGGTACCTATAGAAATTACATTTACGTACCTCTTTACCGTTTTATTTTTAATTCCCTTGGAGGATTTTCATAAAGTGTACCTAAATAATAAAATTTAAATCATTTAAGAATTTATATCTGTTTGTGTCACGCAAAAATTATATTAAGCTTATTTTGAATTACAGGAAAAAGAAATATGTTGGTAACATTTGAAGCAAAAGTGCCTCATAAGGCTGGCTCAAAGAGCAAAAAGATTTTGAAGGCTTTTTGTAAAGGTACTGGACAAGTATTGGTGTGTTGCAAGACTGCCGTGGCTAACTATTTCCGCAATATGATGAAACGGGATGTTGTTTATTTACAATACGGTGCCATATACAAGAGTCGATTATAAAAGTTTAATATATTATATTATGATTATAAAAACAACAACATAGTTTATTAACCCCACCAAGGTTATAACTGTCTAAATTATCAGGTTTTTAATTTCTACTCCTAATTAGAATCTTTCATAACATTAGACCTAGAACTTAATGATGCTATAGATAATATGTATTGTATTTCGTGGTACAAAATAATAATATACAATAGATTTCATTTTATATTCATTTTATATTCATTTTTTACTTTTTATTGATCAGTAAATTATTTTTTACCTTAAAAATAGTTTTTTTATATTTTATTCTAAAAATGTAAATTTCATACTAACTTTAAAATAAAATTACAACATCAAAAGAAAAAATAAATTTTTGAAAACATTTAAATAGTATATTCATATAAATTGATAGTGAGCATATAACTGATAAATGATTGCATGGTGTAAGTGGTGTAAGTAGGGTTAAACTTAAATGTTGAATGTTTTTTTTTAATGTAATAAAGACAAAATTATGAAAATTTGAAATAATGTGTTACTAATAAATTATTACTTAGGTACCTACCTATCCTACATAATTGTGATAACAATTTTGTCTATAGATTGTTTGGTAATTTAACTTAACAAACTTAGGACCATTATATAATTACATCTATAGTTTACTATTTTAGTCCATGCTTATCCTTTGTAGTGATTAAAATAATTGAATCAGAAAGCTAATGTTAGATCTGTAATTCCTATAAATATCTGGTTACTTCTCTTTAAAAATAATTTGTGAAAGACTTTGGAATACACATGTTATAGCAACTGCAATAAAAAATAAAATTCTACATGTAGTCTCTCTTCTGTAAGGTAGTTAATGGCATATTTCCTTGTAATAGAGTAGATCATTGTAACGAATGTGTTAAATTTGAATTTAATGATAAATGATTATGATGAACCACTTTTTAATATGGCAATGTTTAGGTGGATGTTGTGTTAGGCTAAGCATACATCACACATCAATTCTGTGCAGTGTGAAATTGCCATCGATGTATTTATTACTAAAGGTTGTACATGTTTATTTTGGCTGTTGAATTTTGATTTCACCTGACCACTATTATAATACTTTAGCACCACTGACACTGCTATCGTAGCTTATTGACACCTAAAAGATGATTCAGTGGAGATGTACAAGTAGCCAAGCAAAACCGTCTTGATGAAATTATCTCAAATATTGTTGTGTAGCCGTTCCAATTGATCTTACATTAGAATATAGCTGATTATTATTTATGCATAATTAGTACTATTAAATAATCAAAATAAACATCACAAATACCCAAAATATTTTGAAAATTTTATCATGTTAAATAGCCTAAAGGTTACCTGTATAAAATACCTTAAGTGTCTTGCCGTCATCTATATATATATATATTATTGAGAGGAAGCCACACGGGTATTTGCTATCTCCGTCTTACAAACATATAACATGGCAAATTTTATGTTCACAATAACACATTTCACTCTGTAATTTCTAAAACTAGGGTAAATTTACTTCTTATAATTAAAAGGCAAGAATGTGCATACAATTTACAGCTTAAAATGGTCATAACTTACTTAAAAATAATATCAATAAAATCCTCAGAGGTACCTTAGATATTATTCTTGCTTTTATAAGAGGTAAATTCATTCTAGTTTTGGACATTACTAAGTAAAATACATTACTGTGAACATAAAATTTTCCATGTCGTATGTTTGTAAGACAGAGACAACAAATGTTAATTTGTAATCTTCTTGGTGGTTTAATTTAGAGTTAACTTTTCACTGCAGTAGACCAATGGTTGAAATTTGTTTTTACCTTCTGTGTTTTACAATTATTTTTATTTTATCAACGGTATGTCAGATCTCACCCATACTCTTTCAATAAATTTATAAAATTGTGTTCCCAAAATATTCCAGAAACATTTTAAAAACACTCTAACAATGATAATATTTAAGAATCTTAAAATTTTTCATAATCATAATATTTTTCTAAATGTCTATGATAGGCATAAACAGAATCTCGAAAAGTAGGTACTAGGGTATAACTGTAATAGGTCTTGCGGTTTGAAAATGTAAAGGCCATACATTAGTATTATAATGTAGCACCATCATTCCCGAAGCTTTTTTAATAGGGTTCAGTCTCAGATTATATTATCAGTTAATTGTTCAAATGTTTGAAGATTATTTCTAATCTTCATGGCACAACCTCTACTCAAGTTACAGTCGTCTACTCAAATTTATCTTTGGTGAATCCACATGCTTTGTTTAACTCAATGCTCTATAGACTCAATTTGATTCAAAGCAAAAATCTTGAGGTGATGTACCTATTTCAATAATCCATTATTATAATAATAGAAATAATAATTACTCAGGTTGTAACTATAATAACAGTATTTATTAAGCAAGTTGGTATAATAAATATTGAACAACAAAAAACATAAATTAGGTGAAACAAACATTTCAGAGAAGCAAAAATAATTATCTAATACTACATGTCATTTAATTATTTTTCAGAAAATACTTTAAATTTTCATATGCAACATTTACCACGCCCCAACTAATAAATGACCTTGTATAATTCATGTGTACTCCTCGATAAAAATATGATACCCTATTTCCACGTTCTTGATAAATTTCGATTGCAGCTTCTTTAATACTTTTAAATGGGCCTCCCAAGTCGCTTTGCATGTGCACTTTGAGTACATTGCATGGATAAAAAAGAGCACTGTTTAAAGCACCAATAAAAGCCCCGGTCAGAAACTCTTTAAATAATTTATAGCCTGTCCATGCTGTAGGGGGTATCACAATATAAGAGTTGGCAGCTTCACGTAATAAGAAAAAGGAAATGTTAGAGGGCCCATTACGCAACAAAATCGGTGTAAGACCACGGTAAAATTCAGATACTGAATAATCAGTAGCAATAACTTTTATTGCATGACGCATATTTATAAAATTTTTATTATAATGATTGTTTTGAAGTAATGTTTGTATACGTTCAAACGGTGTTAACGTAGCTTCCGCTGTACCAGCCACCAATGCTGCAATGACTTTGGCTAATCTGGAGTTCAAATTAGATTCCAGAAGTGGTTTTTGGATTGCGTCATAAGTGCCAAACATTAATGATGTAGAGATTGTCTTCTGAAATAATGGCGGGTAAATCCCTCGATAAAGAGTAGAAAACCCCTCATTCATAAGTTGAGAAGCTGCATTCCTTAGGCCTACTCCATGTAGCATCTAAAATAAATTTAAGTCAAACATATAAATGTAAATAACTTAGCTGTATGTAAAAAGTATTAAAATTGTCAAAAAAGAAATTGTAAAAACTGTCCAAGCAAACCCCAATTAACAGCAAAACTTAAATCAAAATGTTTTTATAATTCAGGCAGATTTATATTATTGTAAAACTTAGCAAAAACTTGTGAGCATGGATTTAAAATATAATTTTGACATTCTAAAACATTTTCAATCTGTACAAAATGGCATAATAAGCATATCTGATGAGAGTAATTTTTTTTTAACACGAATTCCTTGAATAAGAAGTCATTCAATAGTAACACTTAGCTTGGAGGTGACATTTTAAAATTAAATACAGAAAATAAAAATATACTGACTATTTACTAGTTTGAAAAAAGTAAAAAATTTAGACCTCATACAATTTGCACTTAATAGGATGTCACACCCTCATGTATTGTCTCTGTCTTATACCCGTACGACATACCAAATTTTTGTTTACCAGTTTTAATAGTGTGCTAATAGTTTTGATATTAAAGTAAATTCTCCTATTATAAAATATAAAGATAATATAACTATCTGGGGCCTGATTAATACTTAGGCTTTTATTGTTATTATTATTTTTAAGTAAATTAAGACCTTTTTGAAACTGTACATTTTAGAATGACCATAACTTAAAAATATAAATATCAATAAAAGCCTACATAGATAATAATCTTACCTCTAAATTTTATAATAAGTCAATTTACTCAAATATCAAAGTCAACAGTATTGAAACTAGAGAACAAAAATTTGTTATCTCATATGTGTATAAGACAGGGACAACATGTGACGTCCTCTTAAGACAGTTTTGACCAAACAAACATATTTCATTAGCATGTGAACTTAACACGGAACAATCGGATTTAAAATTGCCTAACATTTGTTGATTATTAGAAAAGTAAAAAAAATATGAGACAAATAGTATTATACTAATCTATCAAGAAACAGTTTTACAGGTTTTGAGATTTTCAATTACTGGTTTTTTTTAAACAAATATGATTTTTTAGTTTTATATGCTATAGGTAATTTTATTTCTCTGAGTAATATGCAGTGTGATTCCTTTTAAAGGTAACACTAAATAATTCTGTCCAGTGACATCGGATTAATATGCGGTTTTCCGAAGGGGATATGGAATACATAAATACACATTTATTGATGAATTTTACATTTTTAGATCTTTCCTTGTGCGCATACACAAACAACTTGCTTTTTTTTAATGGCAACCAGTGTTTTTAATACCAAATTCGGATAGACCGAATTTTTTATGTCGATTTGGTCCTTTTTACCATAGCTCTAAAATCAAAATTGACTAAATGGCAACGGTCAAAGTTTTGATTAAAATTATTGAATTTTTCAACAATCATACTAGAATTTTATGAATTTGTATGTATCCGTAGGTTTGCAGATATTATTAAATCATTTAAATTTAACTTTGAGTAATTAATTAACCTCAATTAGACGTAAATGTTAGTTCATTTACTAAGAAAAGATTAAACTTAATATCTACAAACCTACGGATACAAAAAAAATTTATAAAATTCTAGTATGATTGTTGAAAAATTCAATAATTTTAAACAAAACTTTGACTCGTTGCCATTTAGTCAATTTTGATTTTAGAGCTATAGTAAAAAGGACCAAATTGACTTAAAAAAATTCGGTCTATCCGAATTTGGTATTAAAAACACTGGTTACCATTAAAAAAAAAGGAAGTTGTATTGCGCATGCTCACACGGAAAGATCTAAAAATGCAAAAATCATCAATAAATGTGTACTTAATATTTATATATTCCCTATCCCCTTCGGAAAACCGCATATTAATCCGATGTCACTGGACAGAATTATTTAGTGTTACCTTTAAAAAGAATCACACTATATTTGATTTCTTAAGCAAATGTTAAATTATAAAAAAATACGTTTAATTTTAGTGATAAGTTTTTGAAAAAAGTTTAACTTCAACTTAAGTTCATATTTTGGTCCACATTATAGCATATAATTTAATGTATTTGGGTGCTAACCTAGTTGAAAAATACAAGTTTTAAGCAAAAAATTTTCCAAGTAAAAACCCCATTGTCCTACAGCTAAAAAAATACTAAAATCTTAAATATTATGATTAGCTACTAAAGAAGGTATAAATTTGGTTTATAATAGAAAAAAATATTTACAAATAGGTAGGTACATAGTTTTTAATTGTACATATCATGTAGGTTGCCACATAAATGTATACCTAATAAAAAATAACAAAATATATTAGATTAGGTATAGAAAATGTTTAATTTGATTTATTGAACTATAAAGTAAATACTATAATAACAAATTAACTACACATAATATGGGTTTTTAATAAATAATTAGTGCAAAATAAGTAAGCAAAATAAAAAATAATTACATTAAAATAAAATCTTTAAAAGTTATAATAATAATTAAACAACATGCTCTTTTGGACATAAACATTGCATGGAATAAAACAAACACATTAGGTATGATTTAATAACTATAGTAAATTTATGTATGGATTAGTTTGTCTTTTATGATTTCTGCAGATGAGTGTGCTGATGATCATTGCCATAGTATAATTCTAAAAATAATCATTTTATATTATAACATGAATAAAATATGAAAATAAAGAGAGAAAAAATAACTAATATAAGAAGATACTACGCAACATATATGATATAAAAAATTGAACATTCTACCAATGTGATGTATAATTGACAATTAAAATATTAATTTAGTTTTGTGCAAACTTTAAATTAATATAATTTCAAACTTAAATTCTGGTAAAAATAAATAGTAATATTAAAGGGTTAATTTTATATTTATTGGATTTCTATACTTATAAATTTAGGAGTGTTTTGGTACATTCGTTCATCAAATGTTGGGTTTAAAATACAAGTTGATGCAACAAAATTACTTTAAGAATTTTGACCAATCAGAATACCAAATGGTGATTCTCAAAATAAAAATAAAGTCATGTGTATGAATTGAAAATGATCTAATCTGAATTCAATAGTATACAAAAGGCCAAAACTCAGTTATAGAATTTTGTGTTTCCATGGACACACAGTATAATAATATGAATATTATGACACAAAAAATGTACTGTAAACAATCAAAATAAATAAATCTAAATCATTATTTTATTTTATATTTTAAAATTATCATACTTTTGAACACTTTTAATTATAATATTATACAGAGTGATCCAACAAGTATGCTCACTCCCCTTTTTTTCTTTGATAATGAAGTTTTTCAAAATCTGATTTTTGGAATCTTTAAATATACTCAAAGACCATATTTTCATATTCTTGAGATTTTTATACCACTTAAGGAGTGTCCTGTGGCGATACAAACTTTTGTTTTTCAAATGGGAACCCCACTATTTTACTGTAAATTATTTAGCGGATAATTTATTTGAGAATTTTAAAGTCAATTTTAAAAATCAAAATTCGAACGAGTAGTTTTCTAGTTATTGCACATTTTGTGCTAAGGATATTGGATAATATAGTTTATAATAGAGAAGAAGGATATGCTTATACCTTAAACGTTTTTATCTATAGTCTATACACATAACATAATACGTAATTTTATATTTATTTAGTCAAACACATAGGTAAATAGCAAGTAAAATAATCCTTCTTGATTTATTCAGTTATTTTTCTTATTCCATGTGTAGAATTGCATAAACATATCCCTATTATGGACTATTAATTATTATCCTTAGTACATATTGTCCAATAACTAGGAAACCACTCGTTCGAATTTTGATTTCGATACATCAAAATTCTCAAAAAAATAATTAAAAATAATTTAAAGAAAAAAAGTGGGGTTCTCATTTGAAAAAACAAAGGTTCGTTTCGGCACAGGACACTCCCTATGTGGCACAAAAAATCTTAATATGAAAATATGGTCTTTAAGTATATTTAAAGATTCCAAAAATCAGATTTTTAAAAACTTCATTATTAAAGAAAAAGGAGGGTGAGCATAAATGTTGGATCCCCCTGTATATACATAATATACTCTGTATTTCAATTACTGTAAAAATATTATACATTTTAATATTCACGAGAATGGAGGTTAAACATTGGTAAAATATCCAAAACTGTATTACAAAAAGAATGTTTTGTAAAAATAAACCATTATAAAAACTTCAAATAAAGCAAAACTTGTCAAGTTTAATAGTTTGTTCTTAGGTGGCACTGCTTTCATAAATATGACTATAAGGATAAATAGCTCAAATTATTAAGAAGTACTAAGTACTAACGTTTTAATTGGGGGATTAATACCCCACATTTGTGACAATGAATATGACACCAGATGCAATGTGTCTCTTATATGTAATTGCCAGTGTCCAAAGATTTTAGAAAATTATGTTATTAGACAAGTTTCACTGTTAATCAAATAACCATTAATAATACATGCTTTATTAATATTATATGCTTCACTAAAAACAATATAAAGGAATTTAATTTAAAAGAAAATTAAAAATAATAATATCAAAACCTCGATCAAAACTATGTACAAGAAAATGCAAATTCTTTAGCAATCAACTCCATGCAAGAAATTACTGGAAAATCATAGCAAAAAAATGTGAATATAAATTACCGACTAAAAGATACTACATGAATACACATGAATCAAATGTTATTGGCACTATAGCAGATATGCAATTATAAATAATTTTAAGGCCTCTCAAACTAAATGTTATTTAGTATTTTATGAAATGTAGGTTGAAACCAATCATTGTAACTAAGCGGGACTTTTAGGTAGCATAAATTAATTTTTACGGAATATAATTATTTAATATTTGTTTATGAAAATTGTGTAGGTACTTAAGAATCTTCAACTTTGAATTTTGTTCTTGGAAATCATATATATTTTTAACTATTATAATACATGTAAATTGTTAGCAGCAATATACATGCAAATCATATTATTTTTTTTGTTTTTTTTTCAAGGTCCTAAAACAGCAATTGTTACCTTTTATTACAACTAATAAATAATAATTTATTATATATTATTAATTTTGATGTACAATTTATTTTGTTTATCGCTACCGCATGTTTACCTTATTAAACAGGTAAAGAAAAAAATCAATTAATACATTTAAAAAACAATAATACACATAGGTTAGTTGATACTAATGTTATTGATCTACACCACAACCTACTTGGCAATTATAAATATACACTCTAGTCCATAAATATGTAAAAAGCTGAATAATGTAATTTGTTTAAAAATGAATACCTGTCTGAATATGATTTTATTAATTGGGAAGGTAATTCCCACATTAATAATAGCAGCTCCACAACCGCAAACAAATTCTGAATATTCTTCTCGACTCAAATGCATGAAAAAAGCCATATCGTGTTCCTAATACTGTCAGCTTATTTTTAGTTCATATATCATCCTGGAATCGTAAACAGTACATTATTTTAATTAATCTACAAGGTTATGTATGAAGTATATAAATAAAAGCAATGCACATAATTTGAGAAAATGCTGAACTAATATCATGTTTACCTATTTGTTGGTCTATACGGTTGTGCTGTAAACTCGTCGATAGCCTACCAGCTCAGAGACTCCGAAAAACAAAATATTAAATTGTTCTTAATCGTTAAATATTCTAAATATATGGAGTACTTGGATGTATTAGCAAGGGACACAATAAAAAGTAGAAGTTAAAGAATAATATGATAGTGTTTAGTTAAAAGTTATCTAAAATTATCACGATTAATGATTATAGTGATGATAACACTTTATGACATCATGATAGTGGTATCAGAAAAAAAATTTAATAATAACCTTATACCTCAATATGACTACCAAACGGACTGCTGTAAATAATAATAATAAATTATCCACAGTAAATTAGCACGGTATATTACTAATTACAGTGATATTGAGCACAATATTATAGTAACCGTAGTCCGTAATTCGCACATAACGTTAATAATTAATATACTCGGGCCGCCCATGGTGTCACCAATTATGAAGAGCTACGTGTACCGTGTACCAGCCCGGTATTCGTGCAACAAGCACCTGATACCCAAATCTGGCGACACTGTGCCTGCATCTCTGCATAAAGTGGACCATCGTGGACCTTAGGTGGTTGTGCACGTCGACGTCTTGACGTATAGCCTCGATGTTTATCAATGAGCTGCAGCTCGATATACACACTCGTTGATGGTGATTTGTATTTGTTATCATCGAGTGTCGACGAGGTTGACGTAAACAAATACAAGTCACAACTACTTACTACCGATACAGGACCCAAAACGTGTAGTGTTGTTGCACTACTTTTTGTTTTCGTGGCAAATTAGTAATTGCTAACAGTAAACGACCGACTGTCTGCTATAGCGCTGTGCAAATTCTGTCATCTGTCTTCGCCCGAACAGGAATATCATATATTGTCCCCAGACTCTTGACGTTTTAGCGTAAGTATTTACTAACGATGTCTGTCACTCAAAGTACACAAATAAAAAAAAATATTACAACTCTGATATTTACATAACGATTACATGGTGTTTGTACAATATGGTAGTTAAAAGTGAAAAAAAAATTACAGCTCTGTTTACCGATCCGGCCTTTTAGGCTTCAACAAATAGTGTATTGATGCTTGTGGCTGAACTCTGGCTTCTTTTTTTTATTTTACTCATATTTGTTTAATAATTATATGTTTGTTATTTTGTTTCAGTGATTCTGAAAACAAAAATGAGGAACTCGCGTACCAACAAGCCAAAGGAAACCAACAAACAAAAGAAGGAAAGGAAGAAGGAATTCTTGGAAAACAAAAAAAATGTCGTCTCAGTTGTGTTGCCCACTCTGGTCGTCATATTTGCTCTCATCACGCTATTCATCTACTTGAAAGTGCATCCAAATGCATTGAACTTCATGGCTTCTGAGAAATCACTTTAAACAATGGATCTAATTATTTTAATATCATATCTTATCCATTCCCCCTTCTGTTGTACACATAATTATCTCCCAATTTAAGTCTCAATGTTTTTTTTTTTTTTGTTTATGGCATTTGTTAATAATATGTTCTATGTGCCCTATATTTGTGCGCTTACATTTCAGATGAATGATACAAATATTTTCTTTCAAACATCATGTTAACATTTAATATATCCTGCTGATATTATTTGACAAACCACTTTATCATGTTATTCAATAATATTTGGCTACTAAATCAATTGTATCAAGTATTATTAAAAAAATCATAAATTTATTTTATTTTATATTTGTATTAAAATGTACCGAACATTGCCTTATATTTTATTTTATTAGTAATTAAATTCATTATACTTATTCTATTTTTGAAATTTAATTATATTCATTTTAAGACTGTTGTTTTATAAGCTATTTGTTTTTTATTTCAAAATTACCTACACCTTAACCATTTATTTAGATTTTTTTAATAATTTTCAAAATATAAAAATCAAAAGAACATTAAATTTAAATATCTAGTTTTTATAAATGATAGTAGTTTTGTTTTTATTTAAGCTTTAATTATTATTCATATAGGTGGTTTTATTAAAAGCAATTTTAAAGAAAATTGTTTTATAATATTGTGTTGATAATCGGACCAAAAGTCTGGACTCGTTTTTTACCGTTAGACAAAAATTCAAAAAATACAAAATATCCTATTCAATTTTCATTTATAAATATAGTAATAGTTAATAATATAATAAGTTATAGATGCAGGTATGTAATTAATAGAATAGGTATTTCATATAATATAATTAATTTTCTTATACAATATTAACATATTATACTTTAACACTATTTCTTATAATTATTTTTTAAAATAATGTCTAATATAAAAATTATAAAAGGAAGTTAAAAAATTCATAAGAAAAAGTATAAACTTTTTGGCTTTTACAAATATCATAAAAAAATTGTACATTGCATAAAGTCGTTGTTAAAGAAAACTTAACTTATTTTAATTTGTTATTGTACATATAGTATACATAAATTATACAATTATTATTGTAGAGTGATCAATGCAAATGCATTGACTATTTTTTTTAAAATTGCTTATAATATTTGTAAAAGTCAGAAGTCATTTTTTAATTACTTTTATACTGATCATTGTTTTAGATTTGAATATTGAATTATGATGTTTGTAAACTGTAGGTAAGTATAAGGAATAGTAATCAAATATAATGATCTACCAATATTGTACAACAAAATTAATAATTTTTTTTAAATTAATATTTATTATATAATTATAAATGAAATTGAATAGTATATTTTGTATTTTCAAACTTTTTTTCGAAATGGACCTTTTGTCTGGGATTCTATTGTATTATCTATTTCGTTTTGTGCTAAAGTGTGTGTATGTTATAAAATAAACAAATTTAAAAATATCTTTATTTGAAATGTTTTAGTTATCAATATTTGTTTTAATGACAAGCAAGAGCCCTCTTATTATTTGAATTAATATTAATTATGTTGTTATTAATAATTGGACCTATGTTAAGTTTCATAAAAAGTTGATAAATTTAATTAACCAATCATTAAATCATGTTTAAGTCCTTAAATTACCTATCATTAGCTCATAATTATTTATTCATTGAATTTTTACTGATAGTTTAGTATCAATATTTTATCCGAATTCGTTAAATTAAGTTTTTTTCTACTTAGATAATTTGAATCGCTGCGAAATGCACTTGCCTAGTGGTAGAGTACAATTGTTTGTCAGTGAGAAAAATATAACACATATTTTATTCGCTCAAAACTGCGGGGGTAATGCCCCCCGGCCCTCACAAACCTAACTCAACAGGTAATACCTAACATGATTTCATAGCAAAGAGATTCTATTAAAAATTCTTGTCATATTTAGATAGATAGAAAAGAAAGGTTTTCGTAATTATATAAATATCGGTTTTATTACAATTTTAATTCTTCAACATTATTACCAAATAAATTATATTTTGTTAGCGTCTAACTATAAACATTCATTATATTAATATTATTTTTACAGGGTGAATAAGCCATCAACCTCACTCCCTTTTTTGCAAATAGTTAATAATTATTATGTATTAATTACACTGACATCGTAGATATTACTTTACAATTGTTAATTATTTATATATTAATGACCAATGCCATCGCAGCCATGTATTTATAATTAAAAATAAATAAAATAAATAGATAATTTAATATTTAAATGTTGTGTTGAACATAAAAATATACAATATAATTATTATATTAGTGAAAACGTCCTGAAATTGAATAACGTTGGAGTAGCTGTAAAAAAAGTGTATAAGTCATACATTAAACTAAATGGTAAAATTGGCATTGTGGAAAGTGCAATTAATCATAACCATATTAAAGATTCTGCTAAACTATTTAATAGACAACAGCTGAGTAATAATTTAAAGCGAACGGTTGTATAAGAACTTTTCGATTCACTATCCAAACTTACCTATTCATAGAGCTTTATCAAAAGATTTTCCAACAATGACATCTTATGATAACTTTAATCCATAAGAACAAACTTCATCTACAATTCCATAAGTGCCAGACAATTTACCTAAATTGGAAGGAGAATAATGTTTTTTTTCTTTAGGACGCAATATTCGTATCGTGGTAAACGTACTTTGTAAACGGTTTTATGAAGTTTCCAAAAATTGACTAACCGAAGTTTCCTTACAGTATGAAATATATGGTCGGTACTACATGTCTACACCTTTATTACAGCAATATATAATGGTTATACAAAATTGGAACAAGTTTTTTATCTCAAATATAGTACCTACCTATAAAACTTACATAGATAGATCATAGACACACAGGAAGAATACACTCCTAATTTGGGTTTATAGCCATAGGTAGTAATAGTACTACAAACTATTATGTCTAAATTAAATAGATAGTTTTTCCCTTTAGATAATACTTATTTTTATTATTTATTATTAGATTGATTAATTTTCATGCTGGCGATTTTTTCCTCAAATTATTACAAAATATATGCATGAGTAAATATCATGAAAAATAATAGCACATATCATATAAAAAAGTTCATACACCATGAACCCCCCTTCTTGATCATGCCTTTAGCTGCAGCCAATATAAATAAATAAAAATATTTGACTGAAATTGAAGTTGTACAACAATTTTCAAATACCTCGCCTAAACGTCAGAAATCATTAGACTGGACAAAATTAATTGTATTTTATTGCTCATTAATTTTAAGTGCGTATTTGATGTTTTATATCAGTAAGAACTAAGAAATCACCTTCTTTGTTTTTCAAACCGAATCTGGTGAGTTGGGACAACTGTGATAATTATTAATCTTCAAGTCCCCCCTTTATTGAAAAATCTTGTGTACACCACTATGTAACAGGTTTTGGTCGTTATAAATAAATGGCAAAAACAAATTATACATTTTAATTTTATGCCGGAGTTTCCGTAAACACATACATTTATCATTAAAACCATTAAAATTTATAATCTATACACGTCTACCTACAAATTGGGTAAAAAAAACAATACTTATTATTCCCGATTCGTTGACGGCGTGCAAGTGATTCGTGTGCGGTATACCAACGTCCTATGACTATAATAGGTAGGTATGTATATTATTTATTATTGTTGTTGGTATATAAGTAAGATGTGTTCTGAGATTCGACGCCATTGCTATAATACAGATCGCAAATTCTATCAGTAATAATATATAGGTATACAATCACGATTCCGAGGTCTTAACTCTCGAGATGGACTTAAAGTTTGTGTTGTTTTTTGTTCAAACGGCTGCCATCACTATGGCGCACGTGATTACGATAAAAAACAACTGTCCGTTTACTATATGGCCCGGCATACAAGGCAACCCGGGGCACGAACATCTCGAAAACGGAGGATTTTCGTTGGGCGCCCACAAGACCCACAAGATTAACACGTCTCGAAATTGGGCGGGCAGGATTTGGGGCAGGACCAAATGCAGCGGTCAAGGAAAATGCGAAACCGGTGATTGTGGTAAGTCTATACTTTTACGCTATACTCCATAGTATAGGTATATACTGTCAATTTGTAATAGGTTTATTGTACGTTTATTTTATTATACGTTCGACCCTTACATAAATACACAAAATAATGTATATTAAGCATCAAGCCAACAAATTTAATAATTATTATGCATAGAAAACTGAAATATTTTATGTTTAGAATAAAACAATATATTAATAATTGTCATCAGTCAGTCGTCAGTTATCATAGTCATTTTTTTCTCCTCTATATTGTGTCACGGCTATCCTGAAAAAAATGTCTTGTTTATACTGTTACTTACGTAAAACTAAAACATAATCCATAAAATACCTGTATGGTTGTATGGCTATATATGCTAATGTTGAATACTTTAGCACACACAACGATAGGTGCGGTGACATCAAGTAATTACCAACTACAACATGCTAAGGTCAGTGAAGAACTTGACGTACGTAACATGAGTACTATTTAAATTAAAGCATTAAGCTAAAATCATACGTCTCTTCTTGAAAAAGAATAAGATAGATAATCTAGAAGTTTGATTGTGCCTCACATCGTATTTTTTCTTTTACCTAATTATATTCACTGGGCTTTTTAACCACGGACTTTTTTACCTTGGGTTGACAGATAAAAAAAAAACACACATATAATAATATATAATAGAACGATTCCTGACTGACTGGCTGACTGACTAGCTGACTGATTCAATACTGGCCGATCAACGAAAAGCCTAGACTATGATACCTAGGTATCGACCATAGTGACTTCACATTTTGACAGTACCTTCATAACACCATGTATTGGTGCACTAAACTACCATCAGTCACCAAGAAAAGATTTTCCAAAATTTTTATTTTAAAGAGGCACTCTGCGTCCTCCCACAATAAATTTAAGAAGATGGAAATCTAAAATAATTTTTTGGTTTATAAAAGGTTGCCATGCATTGGTTATATAATAAAATAGTAATAGAAGAAATTAGTATATTATTTTCGTACATAAATCATATAAGAATAAAATTGGTCCGTCTGTAGTCTGTCCAACCCCAATTAATTGTATGTACTGTACGGTATAGGTATCTATAATATCCATGGTTTAAAAAAAAGCTCTCCCTAATATTTATTTTGGTACCTACAACAATACTAGTTCATGACGTACTCGGCATCAAGGCACAGTCGAAAACAAATAACAAATAGTTTTGTGGTACGGCTTGCTGTGTAATGATGTATATTTCTATGACGTCATATCAAATTAATTATACTTAGAAACGTTTATGGTTAGAACAAAATAAATTATGTCCGAAAAACATAAACTTATTATTAGAAGGTCATTAGGGGAAAATGATGTGAATATGATCATTTTATTTTATTTTAAAACATAAAAAATATGAAATAAAATATAAATCTCTGTAATAATTTTTATATTGGTTTTCGTGGTACGGAACATTGTTCAAGTTTCAGCCGCGCGATACTTATAGTTATAATAGAAAACCGGTTTAGTTTGATGAATACCTGTGTATATTGGCCGAAAATGGACAATATTATTTTGACGGAAACGGGTCCTTTACGACCTGCAGCAGTGGCGGTTTTAGGGATGAGGGGTGAGGCAAGTTAGGCGCCGCCTAACCTACAATTTTAAGTAAAAAAATACTCAAAAAGTATCATTTTTGGCCCACTGATAGCGTCCTGCAGTGTCAAAGCACAAAGTGGCACCTCTATATCAGCCATAGCCCATAGGTACCTTACATTAAAGCATTAACTAAGGTCAACAGCGAAATGTACCTTACTTTTTACATTATTGGACGTTTTCGACAATTATTCGACAGCAAAAGTGGTGACCAAAATAACATTTTTGACGTTTATTTTATGAAATTGTATTGAAACTAATATCCTCCACTGGTATAGGAATTTAAGAAACAGGTATTTCGTATTTAGTTCTTCAATCTACAAGCTACAAACATACTGTCGTTGCCTTTGATGTACCTTCATTTGAACAACTTATTATTATTTTATAAATTGGTTAGGACTCAGGTTACTGATTTGTATGTGAAAATACATAATAGCGAAGAGAGACACATCTGTCTGATAAAAATTTGAATAAAATTTATTTCGATTAAAAATTATAATATCGTTAAATTCTAATAATAAGTATTTATAGTAGTAATAATAATAATTTTAAATAAAATTATTATATTCAATTTAAATATAATTATATCTAGGCATTCAGTGACAAATTATATGCTATACCTATCATGAAGTTCTTATTCTCATTAGTATTATAATTTGTAACTAATGCATGAATTCTTTTATTACAGTCCTTGTACTTACTTTTTTTTTCTCTGGTTGTTCTCCAGCATTATACTGCTCTAATTTTAAGTTTCGTTATTATTCATGATCGCTTATTTTAAAATTCGCTGTTTTTATTTACGCTATTATGAATTCGCGATTTTTACATTCGCGGTAAATTCTTTCGCTACTTTGGCCTAGACCCGATTCAGCCGATTCATTATTCATATGCAGGATAATTAAACACCGGTTTGCACCAACGAATTACTGTATAGTTAAGTTCATATCGCATATTATTTCATTGCTCTACGATTCAATTATGCTGCAGGGAACAGGATCAAGTGCAACGGGGCTGGCGGCGTACCACCCGTGTCCCTGGCCGAGATGAAGTTCACCGGGTCCGACGGGTTAGACTTCTACGACGTTTCGTTGGTAGACGGCTACAACCTGCCGATCAGGATGCTGCCGACCGGGCAGTTCTCGTACACGAAAAAGGGCAAGTACGACTGCAAAGCGGCCGGCTGCGTAGCCGACCTGAACAGCATGTGTCCGTCCGAGCTGGCCGTCAAGACTGGCTCCGGTGTGGTGGCGTGCAAGAGCGCCTGTGAGCGGTTCAACACGGACACTTACTGCTGCCGAGGTGCCCACAAAACCTCGGCCACCTGTAAGAGCAGCTCGTGGCCCAAAAACTATCCGGCATTCTTCAAGAAGGCCTGTCCGGACGCCTACAGTTACGCGTACGACGACACGACCAGCACGTTTACGTGTCGTGGCAATCCGTCCACCAACTACGCAGTCATCTTTTGCCCTTAAGAAGTCACTGGTCTGCAATAATTGTACAGCGATGTGCCCATATAGGCAATCATATAGGTTCAGGGTAGATGATTTAAGACGATTTTTATATTACATATACCTATAAATGGTCACAAATCACTTTGGTGGATTAAATAAAATGTTAAACTATATACTACGTCTACTATATAGTATTGTTATACACTCAACGATAAGATTATATTTTGATAAAGTTATAAAGTTTTTTTTAGTACCTACAGATACAAAACATTTATTAGCATTAGTCATTACTTTACACATGTCGACGTCACAGAATACGTCACTACATTAGGTAGACCTTTTAATGTCTACGGAATTATTAAAAAGCTAATTAAAATTTTTTTTTCATTTTTATAAACTATTTCTGAAGTTACGACCAACAAAAGGAATTATTTAATAGGTGTAAAAAGTGATTATTGGTAATCGATAAAAATAACCACAGAATATAAGTCCAACAGAAAAAATGGAAAAGTATGGTGGTTGGTTGTTGAAGTATCCATGTGTGTACTATAATATAGCATTGCATAGCCTATATAACTATTTTGTAACATACAAATACCTATATAATAATTTTTTTGTGTGTTTATATTTACTTTTATTTTATTGATTAATGATGTATTAAGCTTATCCTTTAAGCAATTATCGCAAATATGGAATGTCAATAAATGTAATATGAAAATATAATAATTATAAATAAAAATATAATATACTACAATACAAATTATGTGATTGATGTGAATGATGTGATTAAAAACTTTAAAAATGTTTGTATTAATAACTTTAAAATTGGCTGAAATTTGTGGCACAAAAATTAGAGAAAACAGCTTTTTAATTAACATTTAAGATGAGTTTAACTAAAATAACTTGCAAAGAGGATGTGTTAAACTTGTTTTCGCTTTTACACAAAAAACAAGGAGATAGATAGGTAAGATAAGAATCTTAATCATACGATATATAGACTATAGGTATATAGATTATTACATTTTTTCGTATAGACATCTTACATCACTGTGGGATGTTGTTACGCAGCTCGTAGGTATGCTGTTTTAAATTAAAACCAAAACTCTAAATGTTTAATAATATAATGATAATACGTGTCACTGGATAAAGGGGTTTTATATGTTTTCCATTATTCTGCATTATTCTTCCAATGCCCTCTTCAAACCTACCACCCCCCCTGAAGACCGAACGTGAGTGGTGTGGGTGTCGCCTACGTTAAGAAACACTATACTCTATACTGACACTGCTGTCGTATCGGCATAGTCGTTAGCTACGTCGATAAAGTCGTTTATCCCGATTTGTAATTATTGCACTCGAAGGCGTGAAAAAGATATCAGACAATACAAATAATTGGTCAGTGTAATATTGTGATTAGCTATTATTATTGCCTGTGGGATTATTTTCTAAACATTATTATAAGAAAATGTACTTTCAGTAAATCAGTAATCTAATACATTAGACATTTTTATCTACTTTTAATAATTATTGTTACAAAAAGAATTAATATTAATATAAAGTATAATAAAAATTAAAATATTTTCTATGGAGATATTTCTATTGGAGATATTTTTAAACGGTGACATTTTGTACCATAAAAAAATATTTTTACTGGATAAATTTTAAATTGAAGATATTTTTTACTAGAGATATTTTGTATCCGAGATATTTTGACTTAAAACCATTAAACCATTTCGTAATGTCGAATTATATATCGTGTAGACTTGGTCACTTGGAGTTTGGACTACTAGGAGACTTCAGCAGTTGTAGTTCAGAGTTCGTAAATATTAAAAATATAATCCCGCCTAATCTGAAATCTTGAATCAAAAATTCTGCGGAGAAAATGTTATCGGACATGGGTAGTTATAATGTCGGGCACAACCCCGACAGTGTTGGATGTAAAAAAGTTTCCATTTAATATTCGGCGACACTGTGTGTTATCGAAAAACGATATCGTGTTCGTTTCATATTTTAATTCTGATAGGTAGTTGTATAGGTACCAGCAGCAGCTATTCTACATCATTAATTATTATAAAATATAAATAGTAATTAATAGGTACTTAATTATACATTATAATGATTGTCGTCATCCGTCTTAACTGTTGAGTTTTCACATTTCGTGTTCAGCCCAGGGCCGGTACCGATACGTTTTACGTTTTGTGTTGGTCGTCGTAAACAATTTTCAGCCAAGAGGAGACGTCACGTGCGCTTAAGACCGGCCTGTCCAGCCCCAATCGACAATCGACATGCACAATCCTCTACTGGTAAGTTACCCAGTCACAAAGCTATTATATAACGAAATCTAAGTCAAAGCCCGATATTGTACGACTTTTATCCGCCCGTAGTCATGTGGTTACACTTAGTACGGAATTATATCTATTGGTATTTGAGGAAAGTGATCAAATGGTTCTTGCGCCAGACCACTAAGCTCTGCGAACTGCAACGCATATGCTATGCGCAGCCGGCGGGCGCTCGTAGAACAGTGAATGTAGAACGATCTTTGCGCGATTCCAACAGGCCACAAATACGTGGTCTGCTCACTGTGTTAGACGCTCGTGCATCAGACCGAAGTTTCTACTTGGGACGATCCATTCAGATACCAAATGCTGTGTCGACAATCACACGCGTAAAGCGTATTGACCAGTGTGAGTATGAACGATTTAACAACGCTCTTGGACAATGTGTGAACAATATATGGTCATATATGCAACTAGTAGAAGAAATTAAGACTAGTGCAGCAATTCAATATGATTGTACCAACGATGTGCATGAAAAATCGTTGTTACTTTTATGGGATGAACTGAAGCCAAATGATCGTCTAGAAAATAGGGTAACCAAACAGTGGCAGGACATTGGATTCCAAGGAGATGACCCAAAAACTGATTTTCGAGGAATGGGAACATTAGGGCTGGATAATTTGGTATATTTTGCATCAAAATATACCCATTTGGCCAGGCAAGCATTATCACATTCAATGCATCCAATCCATGGGTATGCGTTTGCAATTGTTGGAATAAATTTAACGAGTATGGCATTAGGACTGGTCGTTGATGGTTCAGCTAAGACTCATTTTTATAATAAACGCAACGCACCTGAATATGAAGATTTCAACGAGTTCTATTGTTACTTATTTTGGAAGTTTGACAAATTTTGGTTGGACGCAAAACCTAAGGATCTCATGGAGTTTGCAATTCATCGTAAGCAATTTGAAACGACTATTAGACAAACGCTGGAAAATATTGATACTGTTTTTCTAATTGATGTTCCTAATGATAATACAACTGATGTGTTAAATAGGTGAAATTATATTTTGTAAGTCTATTAAGTATACAATTAATTAGACTGCTACTTTAATTATGTATTATACCTATCATTTGGCCATTTTTCTAAACATTTTAATGATTTATAAAAACAAAAAATGTAAAATTATTGTTGTTTTGACATCATACATAACAATTAATGTACCTATTAAAATTATTCAAAAATTATGATGTAAATAGTTCGTTTTTTGTTAAACTCAAAAGTTAAAATAAATTTCTCTGACATATTTTAATGTCAACACTTAATGTTTTTTTCATTGATAAAAGTATTATTAAAATGTTAGATTAATTAAACTTAATTATATTATAATAGGTGGTAAATGTCTATAATAAAATAGGTAATTAATTACCTACAGTTTCATAACATAATGCATTTTTCCAGAAATATTTTGAAAAATTAAGTGTTATTAACTAGACTGTACATTTATAAAATTGAGATATTAAGTATGTTAATTATTGTTTAGATATTTCTTAAATTTTGAATGCAAATTTACTAACAAGATAAATAGTAAGTGGAAATTCAGTTTATAATTAAATAAAGGTGTATATAAGTTCTTTGACCATTACTCATTATTATGGCTTGGAAGTTATAAAAGTCAAAATTGGTATAATATGCAAAAACGAAATTCAAACATATTAATTATTAGTTACATGATAATTTATTATGATCAAATAGCTATAATATTACAGAAATATGGTGAAAACTGGTTGGACAAAAATAATTGTTTGTCATTGTTCCACTTATTGATGTTAGGTCATAACTAAAAGTTGTGTTATAATGGATTAAAGAAATGGAAATGTGCTTTTTGCTACTTTGTATAAATCTTTGGGAAATGATTTTGATAAAAACATTTTTTAGACAATACTGGATATACGTAAAAATTTAGAAACGACAACTTTGTTTGTATTATAATCAACAAAATGTGCAAAAAAAAAATGGATATAATTATTTTATTTTTAAATCTTCATTTTATAGAATCAATGTCTTGATTGGTGTGTTATAATTAAAATCATTTAGAAAAATATGCAACTCCTACATCTTATGGGTCCTAGTCATTATTAATTGAACATATGTACATAAGTTTTTCAGGTATTATCCTGATATAAGGTCTATCTTGAATCTTGATATTATAGTAAATAGACAACCATATTTCTAATTTCTGTTATTGGAATGATATCCATGAACATTATAAATAAGTAAATTCCAACAATTTTTTTACCTACCTTGTTTCCAAAAAAAAAAATTTTAAATGCATGTTAAGTTTTTGGGCCAGTAAGACACTTTTATTTTGAAAATATTCCTAATAACTCATTTTCAAAAAGAATATAAGTTAAATAACAAATAATGTTGGAATCCACATACGTCGTAATAATAGGAATGATGTGTTCACCACCACAGGTATTCCAGGTCTTAAAAATGTAATACTATATATCCTATTATTATTAAATATAATAATTAACCATAAATACTATATTAAAAAATAACTTAAATATATAATTTAAAAATTAAAAATTCTTTTATAAAGAAACGTAAAGAAAGTAAACCTTTAAGATTTTAATTTAAGACAAGTACATATTTGATATCTTAAAGTTATTAATTCTTACTTATAAAATCACAAATAAAAAGGTAATACCTACAATAATAATTATATTTTTAAAAATAAGTGTTAAGACGGTATTTTATTATTAATAATTTACAATTTATTAATAAGGTACAGTGATGTAATAGGAAATTTGGATAACAATCCACATAAGAATATTTTTTTCATTTAAGTACAATATGAAAAATCAAATAATACCTATACAATAAAACCTATGTTCATCTAGTTTTAACTTATTCAAAAAAATAAATAAAATCTAATTTGCCTAAATTCTCTAAAGGAATTTGTTGTTTAAATTGTATAGTTTATCATTTATAGTTGTTATCATGAAAGCCTATGTGTACACTATACGTAGGCCAATGACGCAAGTGATTTAGATGGTTAGTAATAAGACTAACAATAAAAAAGAATAACAAGTTATCAGTAGTCAGTAGGCTTCAATCACAAGTCAAATAATAGCCAATTACGTTTATGACCTTTTAGACATTGATATCTAAGTTATTTCCGATTTGCATCAACAGTTTCTAACCAATGTTTAAGATTGATTTTTGGAATTAATAGGGAATCACAAGATAGCAAATCATCTTCTGCAGATACTGGTTTAAAAAATACTCGTTGCTGCATCTTAGTGACATTATCACTGTTATCGCAAAAGACTCTGGCGAGGGTCACTTTTCGGATTTCTGCCAATTGATCTACAATTAAAAAATGTTCAGTTAAAATGTGGTACTCTCATAATAAATAATTCAGCTATACTAACGTTTTTTGAATACTTTTGGCAAATCATAAAAATATCTGT